CCTCCCCATCCCAGAATGACTCCACCAAACACTATCGTTTCAAACTGTCGGAAAAGTAACGTAAGGCTCGCGTGATTTCATACGTTGGGACAATATACAACCTAAAAAAAGGCAAGTCGTACTCGAACTCGAACACCTCCCAAGCACCTCACTACCTAGCGACGATCAGCTCCTCGTCTCGTCTTAAGCGATGTGCGATCTCTACTACGCTTCTGACTCTTAGGAAGCTTTGACACCACGGACGGTACCACCAGTTGGAACTTAACATTAACACCTACGAGACAATTGCTCATCATTGCTGCAGACACTGTTGCGCGCGACATAGGCTTATCGAACTAATGACATGAAATGGTGATAAAATACAGCAGCAATGATTCTCTGTCTAATAAGCACCTATCCTACCTTGGCTCTTCTCCTTCTCGACTACCTTCGACAAGTCGCCCTATAAAAACGCCATTCCCACAGCACTAAGGAGTCCTTTCACTACCTGTGTGATAACACCTGTAGCTGGGACAGGCGCAGAGACGCTCCGAGGAGCTCCCATTTCAATGTCATCGTCGTTATTCTTTTGTACAAAAGCCAACTTAGCTCTCACAGAGCCGCCGATATCGTCACCAACGACAACCTTAGGGATGCTCTCGAGTTCCGAGGCGACATACCTTCATAACACTCGAAGAAGAGACGACAAAGGAGTGGTATTACTTTCTACGGTTACCAGTGATAGCGTAACCACTATGAGGCATCGCTTCACTCCGGAAATCCAAAGGCTTCGCCACAATAACCTGAGCTCTTCCTTCTACCACTTCCTAATCGCTCATCCAATTACCTTAGGGAAAGCCGCCTCTGGATCGTCCGGATAGAGGAAAGCGTTCTTCGGCGTAGCTGGTTTCACAAAGACACCTACACACAGCAGTGTTGGAGGAATACAGGTTCGCGTTCCTCAGCTGATCCCAAAAGTTTCCCCACCAATTGTGGAAGTTTATACACGAATTCGGGTGGACGTGTGCGAAAACTCCCAAAAATTATTATACCGTCAGCAACACATGTGGTGCATATTTTCCCACACCGCCTTGATTCTGAGCCCTATACCCACCGACTACCACTGGCGACTTCTCGCAACCTCTGGTTGGTGTCCTGGAGTCGTTTCTTATCGATGGTGGCGCTAACCAACTGCCTCTTACAGGTTCTGAAGCGCTTCTTGACCTTAGAACGGATCGACTTGGCCATCACCAATAAGTACAAGGAACTACAAATACGACTCAGATGCAGCAAGTAGGAGTGAGATCGGCAGCTAGTATATGTAAAGAAACGAAGCGCATT